TGAAACTACTCAAAGTCCTGCAACAAAGACAGAGCTCAACAGGTCAACTGTTTTAAACAACACTGCAAAGCAGATAAACAAAAAGTTAAAAAGGCAAAAGACCTTCGGAGGCAACATGAAAGGGACAGTACAAAAAATTAACCCAGGAAAACTGAAAACCAATCCAGACCTTTTCTGTGTGAGCTGTTTAAAGTTGTTGATTATTTTTACAATAAAAACTAAAGCACAAACACAAAGAAATCTACCTCCTAAGATTTAAACTTCTGTCAAGTGCCTCGGCAGGTTAGATTAATGATCTATTCACTTAATCCGACCAAATCCCAGGTTTGTGAATAAAACCACTCAATGTTCTTAAAAAAGTACCACACAAAGGTTTTAAATTTATAAAACAAAAATGCTTTATCCTGATTAGCCAACTTTTATCCAACAATTTAAACCCACTAACATCAGACAAAAAGATAACCACAGCCCAATGAAAACTTTTTGTCCAGACGTCCAGTAAGTCAGGTCTGTGACTGCTAGGCTAATAGCCAGCAGCCCAGTCACTGGGAGGGGGGAGAGACAGAAAGGTTGAAGGGGAAACATAAAGATGCTCTTATACAAAAAGACAAAGAACCAGACAGACAACATAACAAGAGAGACAGCCAATTTACACAAAAAGACAGGCAGCCATGGCCAACCAGATTTCCCAGAATTGTTACGCAGTGGCTGTCAAGCGGGCCCCTTAACAAGGTACCAGACTTCCCAAGCTGCATCCTGGTGAGAAGGTGCTGAGGAGAGTTATGGTCTCATCCATCCCTCACCTCTAGCCAAATAGAGACCAGCCTCACAGCCAGACTGACCTCCGGAGGTTTCAGACAGAAAACTCAATCTGAATTCCAGCACCCCCAGGCAGCCTCTCAACTGGGAGAGTAGGAGTCTGAAGCCCTGAAAGTTTTATCAGGGGGCACCTTCCCTAGATGTCCCACACTTCCAGGAGCAGCTGCCAGTGGAGACATCAAGACACAGTGGCTTTCCCAGTCAATGCACCAGAATGTTGTGGGTTCAAATAAATGACAGCTACTGTAATGTCTTGAAACTTAGAAGTCTTTTATTTGGTTATAACCAGACTGTTTAGAGTTAGTGAGCATTACAGGGTACAACATTGATTATAACATCCTGGTTAAGAAAATAAAAATAGTAATATCCTGGTTCCTGATCAAAAGGAACAATATTATTAAATACAATGTCCTGATCTTAGAGCATAAGAGTATATTTTAAAATCAATTACTAGTGGGACTTTCCAAGATGGGAGGGGGAAGGAGGCAGTCAACAAAATGGCATTACAGTGGCTAGTGCTAGTCTGTCTCAGGCCTAACTGGCCTTGTGGGTTTCCAAGACTAAATCTTTATAGAAGTAGAGAGCCTCATTCTTCTCTCTTGGAGCAGCTGGTGGTTTCAAACTGTTGATCTTGAGGTTAGCAGCCCAATGCGTAACCCATCATACCACCACGGTTCTTTATGACTTGAGTTATAAAGAACTTTAGTACTCAAAGTGACATCCTTGCTCTTCAACACTTTAAAGAAGTTTGTACCTGAAACTTTCCCCAATGGAATGCACTGTTGATTTCATGACTGCTGCTTTCATGAACACGGGGGATCTGAGCACGAAGAAATCCTTGACAACTTCAGTGTCTTCTCCGTTTACCTTGATGTTAACGATTGGTCCAGGATTTTTGTTTTCTTTACACTGAGTTGTAAACCATACAGAAGTCTGTAGTTCTTAATCTTCATCAGCTAGTACTTGAAATTCTTGCTTTTAGCAAGCAAGAGGGTCTTCTACATTTCAAAAAGTGTTCATGAATCTTCCTCCAATCCTGATTCCTCCTTCTTTATATATTCTAGCTTCTTGGATTATTTGCTGAGTTTAAAGATTGGATAAGTATGGTGATTGAATAAGTATGGTGAACAGTATGACACATTCCTTTCCTGATTTTGAACCATGTAATATTCCCTTGTTCAAATGACTGCCTCTTTGTTCATGTACAGGTTCTGTATGGGCACAATGAAGTGTTTTGAAATTCTAATTCTTAATGTTATCCTTAGTTTGTTATGATCCATCTAGTCGAATGCCTTGTATAATCAATAAAACACAAATAGATGTCTTTCTGGTATTCTTTGCTTTTAGCCAAGATCCATCTGACATCAGCTGTGATAGTTTTTTGTGCTGCAACCTCTTCTGAATTTGTTTTGAGTTTCAACAATAGCAAATTGTTACCTCTAATAGAGGTTCATGTTCTGGTGCAGCAGAGGCAAGCCCTGTGTGGGGCTGCTGACTGCTAGGTCAGCAGTTGAAAATCACTAACCCACTCGCTGGAGAAAGATGAGGCTTTCTGCTCCAGTGAAGAGTTATGGTCTCTTTCCTGGCCTATAATAGGGTTGCTATAAGTCAGAATAGAGTCTATTGCAGTGAGTTTGAGAGTTAAAGTCAGAGAAAAAAAGAGAAGTAGATTAGAAGGTAAACACCAGCGAGAGAGCCTGATAGCAACACAAGCAGTTTTGATGGAACCTAACTTGGGATGATCAGAATACATAGAGTTTACATATTTTCATACTGAACTATACCTTTTGGGGTAATCTTTCTTTCATGAGTACTTTCTATTATTCAAGGAGCCCTGGTAGGGTAGCAGCTATACATTGGGCTGCTAACTGAAAAGTGAGCGGTTCTAAACCATCTACCTTTCCACCAGAGAAAGGTGAGGCGGTCTACTCCTATAAGCAGTTACAGTCTCAGAAATCCACAGAGGCAGTTCTGTCCTGTCGTGTAGGTTCACTATGAGTCGGCATTGAGTTTGCTCTATTTTCTTATTTTTCCCATTACTCAGGTCACAAGATAACCGCACAATGTAAATATCCACTATAGCAGTGGCTCTCAACCTGGGGGTCGAACGACCCTTTCACAGGGGTTGCCTGATTCATCACAGTAGCAAAATTACAGTTATGAAGTAGCACCGAAAATAATTTTATGGTTGGGGGGTCACCACAACATGAGCAACTGTATGAAAGGGTCGCTTCATTGGGAAGGTTGAGAACCGCTGCACTATAGGGATCAGACAAAGCAGGAAGAGTAGCATTCCTGAGGCCCAACCCTTTCCTTCCTTATCTTAGTGATCCTCCAGGCAGAGCTGTCCAGATAACCTTCCAGGTCAGACAAATCATCCAGCATCACAAGTGTCCTTGAGCAATGCAGAAAGTTATAAAAATTCCACAGAGGACCAAGTCACACCACAAACAAGGATTAAGTTTAGATTCCTGTTGTTGGGTGTCATGGAATCGGTTCTGACTCAATACTGTACTCCAGTTTCCATCCAAGTCAAGCACGTTCTGAGTTGAGGCTGCTAAGGAAGTGGTAGGAATTCACTTTCAAAGACTCTGCCCTAGGACAAACCTTTTCACTTTGCCAGTCAGTGGTCAAAAAGAACTCAATGGAGACGGACTCCATGTGGAGACTCAAACATGGATTTTGGGCTCCCACTGTAAATTATATCCTTTTGAAAATCCTGTGCTGAGAACTTAAACTCTAATACCACTCTGATCCCCTACCAATCCCTTGATTGTTGTTAGCTGCTGTTGAAACATTGACCAGTTGCTATACCTGAGTTCATTGTTGCTGCTATTGTCTATCCATTTTGTTGAGGACTTTTCTAATGTTTGTTGGCCCTCTACTTAACCAAATATGGTGGCCTTGCCCAATGGCATGTTTCACCATCCTCACTTCTAAAAAACAGTTTATTGAATCTAAAAGTGATGCTTGTTCTTTTGGCAAGATATGGTCAATATTCTTTACCAACAGCATACCTCAAGTGCATCACATCTTATGTCTTCCTTTTCCATTATTCAAATCAGTATGCTATATGACGCGATTGAAAGGCTTGGGTAAGATACACCTGAGTCATGAACGTGACATGATATCGAGGCAGACTAACAAAAGAAACCCCATTTTCGTAAGCTGCTAAATAACTTGCCCCTTCCTCCTGCCCATCTCAGAAAGTTGGCTGCTGGTGACCTGCCCGTTCTCCCTCCCCTTATGGGAAAGTCTCTGCTGGTGATTAATTTTAGAATGGAGTCCCATGTTCTCAGGTTCTGGACACCACAATTAGTTTTGACTATTCTGCAGTGTATCATTTGTTCTGATTCAGTATGGTTCCTTGTGATGTGATCTGAATGGTATAGTTAATCTTGTCATGATAACCAGGATGTGACAGTATAATTTTGTTACGGTAACCAGGATGTTATGATCCATTTTGGTATTGTTTCTTTTGCATGCTTACTCTTTCTGAAGTTAAAATTGATCCATTAATTTTGCTTTCTGCTTTTGTTCATGCTTACTTGAACCCTAGACAGGTGATACATGAGTTTTTCGGCCTTAAAGATGGATTGAAATGTGGACTTGGGACTGCAATCAAAGAATCGCGTTTAGATTCTAGCAGTCCGGTTATAACCAAATAAAGACTCTAATTATCAAGACATTATAGTGGCTGTAATTTATTTGAATCCGTAACAGTCTCAAATAGCAAAGATGACAGATATCATTCCTGTGATTACATGATATTATATAAGACTGTTTACAGCAAACTGGAGCAGAAGACTCTCATTGCTAATTTGATTAATTTAGGGGCTAGTTGGAGAACCTCCTTCTAGTGTCTAAAGTAGCCTCTAGCTGACAGCAAAAAACCCGGTCCTTCGTCTGACAGCCGCAAGGAGATGAACTCTGCCTAAATGTACTTGGATGAGATTCTTTCCCACTCAACCCTTCACAAGATTGCTACTTGGCTGACACTTTGATGCAAGCCTTGTGAGACCCTGAGCAGAGGATGCAGCTAAGCCATGCTCAGACTACTGAGCCACATAAACTGAACGGAAGTATGTTTTGTTAAAGTACCAAGTAATTGCTACACGCGGTTGTTGCTAGATGCCGTCAAGTCGGTTCCAACTCATAGCAACCTTGTCTTTATTCAACAGAACGAAATACTGCCCAACCCTGCACCATCCTCACAATTGTTATCTGTGAGCAGAAAACTAATACAAGGATATGCCCTTTTGTCTGTGATGTAAGTTGCAATTACTATTTCTAGTTTCTCATTTGTGTTTTTACTTTCTTACAGTGTCTTTTGTTAGATAGAGATTTTTGGCATTTTTTTATAAACCAGTTTATCTGCTGCCTTCTCATGCATTGTTTCTGTTTTCAGTCATAGCTTCAGGACTTCCGCCCAATCCTTGAAACTAGAGGGATTTGCCCATATTTTCTTTCTCGTGCTTGCATAGTGTCATAGTGACCCTATAGGACAGGATAGAAGTGTGAGTTTCCTAGACTATAACTCTTTACGGGAGTAGATAGTCCCACCTTTCTCCCACTGAGCAGCTGATGATTTCGAACTGCTGACCTTGCAGTTAGCAGCCCAATGAGTAAGCACGAGGCTACCAGTCGGCATCGACTCGGTGGGAGTATGATTTCGTCTTTTATATTTAAGCTTCCAGTTTGTATCAGTTGTATCATAGTGAGTGGTTTGAGGAATGAGTTCAATTTAATCTTTTATGTATGGTGAAAGAGTTGTCCCATTGCCATTCATTAAAAAAATCATTCATTTACTTGCTGATTAGTGATGTTATCTTTGTCTATTCTAAGTGCTGTGCATAATACGTAATTGGATCTTGTATAAATGGCCTGGGGGTGGCGACTTACCTGCTCTGACTTCACAGGGGGAACATGCCGCCCATCTTTCCATTTGTTCAAGTCTACTCTTGAAACTCTGGAGTGTATCATGGCTCTCCTCATGTTGGGACATTTCTTAAGTTTTCACTTTGTATTTTAATTAAGATGTTCACATCGATAGTCACAAGTGAGCTCTGTTTGGCAGGGTGGGGGGTTTAATCATTACCAGGTGACTTTTTTTGATTTGGGTTTTTAATGTTGTTGTGGTGAAAGTACGCATAACAAAACCTGTCATCTCAACAGTTTCAATAGGTAGAATTCACTAACCTTGATGATATTCTTCCAGTTGAGCCACCATTCTTGGTATAGCTTCCCAAATCAAACCACCACCATATGGTAAATTCAACAAAAAGCTCAACTAAAAGTGCTTGACTCCTCTCTTACCATTGGTGCCCACTAATGAGCTGTGGTTTCTGTTGTTCTGATTAGGTGTCACCAAGTCAGTCAGTTATAATTTATAGTGACGCCGTGTACAATAGAACAACTCAAAATACTGTTTGGTCCTGCCCATCCTCAAAATCATTGTTTGAGCCCAGTATTGCAGACCTCATGTGAGTTCATCTTGTTGAAAGCCTTCTTTTTTGACAAGCTCGATGCCCTTTTCCAGGGACTAATCCTTTCTGATAACATGCCTAAAGTATATGAGATGAAACATTGCCATCCTTGCTTCCAAAGAGCATTCTGGATGTACTTCTTGTTTGGGCCAGGTCCGGACCATGCAGCCGCTTCCCCCAGCTCTCCCGAAAGACAGCCTGCTGGATGTGCGGCCCCTTCCCCCACCTCTCAAGGCCAGAACTGGACTGTGGAGTCCCTGCCTCCAGCCTTCCAAGGAGCTTATCTCTCTGGGCCGGGTCTGTACAGCCCGTGCGCTCAGTGTTCAGGGATGATTTACTCACAGATCACATCCTGACTCAGACCCTGCAACTACAGCATCAGAAAGCCTCCTTCCCCTTATCAGTTATGTACGCCCTTGCCTCAAGCCCTAGATGCGTCCCACTGCCTCCCTGCCAGGTGCGATTTCCCTGACTTAACTCACTGGGTCTTGGAACCTGCCTGGGGGTTCAAGATGCCTCCGCCCCTTTCTCTGCTCTCCCTTCCCTTCTGGAAGTTCTTTCCCTGCCTCAATAAGACCTTTCTTAACTGCACATTCCTGGCTAAATTATTTTTTTTTCTTTTAATCATTTTATTAGGGGCTCATACAACTCTTATCACAATCCATACATACATCAATTGTGTAAGGCACATTTGTACATTTATTGCCCTTATCATTCTCAAAACACTTAAGCCCAAGGCATTAGGTCCTCATTTTTCCCCTCCCTACCCCTACCCCTCCCTCATGAGCCCTTGATAATTTATAAATTATTATTTTGTCATATCTTGCCCTGTCCGACGTCTCCCTTCACCCACTTTTCTGTTGTCTGTCCCCCAGGGAGGAAGTCACATATAGTTCCTTGTAATCGGTTCCCTCTTTCCAACCCACTCTCCCTCTACCCTCCCAGTATCGCCACTCACACCACTGGTCCTGTAGGGATCATTAGCCCTGGATTCCCTGTATTTCCAGTTCCTATCTGTACCAGTGTACATCCTCTGGTCTAGCCACACTTGCAAGGTGGAATTCATATCATGATAGTGGGAGCGGGGAGGAAACATTTAGGAACTAGAGGAAAGTTGTGTTTTTCATCGTTGCTACATCGCACCCTGACTGGCTCGTCTCCTCCCCGAGACCCCTCTGCAAGGGGATCTCCAGTGGCCTACAAATGAGCTTTGGATCTCCACTCCGCACTCCCCACATCATTCACTATGGTAAGATTTTTTGTTCTGATGATGCCTTACACCTGATCCCTTCGACACCTCGTGGTTGCATAGGCTGGTGTGCTTCTTCCATGTGGGCTTTGTTGCTTCTGAGCTTGATTGCCGCTTGATTACCTTCAAGCCTTTAAGACCCCAGACGCTATACTTTTTGATACCTGGCTAAATTCTATCTCTGTTCTGCATCCTCGTCTCCAACCTCTCATCTTGGTGCCGAAAGACCTAGGACCAACAGAAGGGGCTTCTGTGCTGCCCCGGCCTTCCTCTGGCAGGTGCGCAGCCCCATCCTCATTTTAAACCTCTCACTTCTTCCAAGACAGGTTTGTTCCTTCTGGTAGTCCGTGATATATTCAATATTCGGCACCAAGACATAATTAAAACGTATGGATTTTTCTTCTGTCTCCCTTGTTCATTGTTCAACTTTACCATGCATATGAGGCAGTTGGAAATAGCATGAGTTGGGTCAGTGTACCAGAGTCCTCAGTGTGACATCTTTGCTGTTTAACATGTTACAGAAATGTAATGTGCAGATTTGTCCAATGCAGTACATCATGTGATATTTTGACTGATGCTTTTATGGGTGTTGATTGCCAATCCAAGTAAAATGAAATCTTTGACAACTTGAATATTTCTGCCACTTATTACGATGTTGCTTATTGATCCAGTTTATAAGGATTTTTGTTCTCCTTATGTTGAGATGTAATCCATACTGAAGGCTGGAGGTTGTCATTGATCTTCAAATCCTCTTCATTTTTCAGCAAGCAAGACTGTCATATGTGTATCACGGGTTGTTAAGGAATCTTCTTCAAATCCTGATGCTGCCACTCTTCTTATCATCTAGTTTCCTGAACTATTTGCTTACAGTATACAGATTGAATGAGTATGATGAAAGGATATGACGCTGATGCACAACTTTCCTGATTTTAAACGGTGCGGTATCCAGTTGGTCTGTGTACAGGTTCTGCATAAGCACAATTAAGTGGTACTCTGTCTTCCATCTTACTAGAAGTCTGTGATTTAACTTTTAATATCATATGCTTTACAGGGGTTGGTTTTTATAGTATGAGTTGTACATCATTCAGGTGTTTGTCATGTGGAGACTACTAACAAACCACTTAACTGTAAGTATGGTTTGTGAGTTCTGTGAACTGTTGCAGCGAATTTCATTTACTCAGGTAGCTCTAGTTTATGTGTTTGTCGTGTTCTACTGCCATTAACTGCATCTCTCCAAAATCTCAGTGGTAGGTATCATCCTATCCAGCCTGTCCAGCTCACTCTGTCCTGTGCAACGATTACTCCACTCAAAGAAGGCCTCTGGTGTCTCCTCCACATGCTTCCTTACCTCCTCATTCCTCCACGTGCTCAGCCCTCTTCTCTGACTTAAGTCTACACTGGATCATCATCGTCATCACACACAAAAGACCTTCGACTCCCTTGCCCCATTCTTCTAATGATCCAGCAAAACCCACTTCTCAGTTTGCAGAGCATCTGCCCCTGAACTATGTCCAAAGAACATAAAACAGTACTAACCTGACTCAATTAAAATTCTCCTTGCAAAACTGGTTAGGCTTTTGTTCATTTAACTTTTGAAAAATATGTTACATTAATATATAACTGAAGTTTTGTTTTTATTAACCCTTCTTGTTTATGATTAAAAAGATTTGTTCACTCGTTATTTTGTATTAACATGTTTGCTTTGACTTGCCTTTTAAAGGCTTTCAGCTTTGGATGTTGACAGCAGAAAGGATTATTAACCCGTAGAAAGGAACTAGCAGTATCTAGCCTCATTATGTGATTGTTCATATAGATTCCATGAAGGAACTAGAGGTTCCTTCTAAAGGTGAGGTCTATGAGGCCAGAAAAGTTTATTCATTTTGCTCTTAGATGTTGACAGCAAGGAGGGACAGCTGTCCAAGCATTGGATAACTCCACCGCAACACAAGAAAAATAAAAGCAAAACAGTCATAGTCCTTGTGAGATTTTTAGGTTCAGTGCAAATCATTGTGCTCTATGTACCCCTTATTGTGGCTGAGGCATAATATATATTATCTCTTGTAATTCTGAATATTTAATTTACTTCTAAGTTTGTAACAAATGTGTAATATTGTCTGTTTAAAATACAGCTAATAAAAATGCAGCTAAGACAATTTGGTATTTTTCCAAAGTTGTCATGAGTAAGTGACAGATGGGATTAGAATTCATTGTTGTCTTTTCTTTATACCAGTGGTTCCCCAATCTGGCTGTGTATTAGAATTACCCAGTGATCTTACTAAAAGTATAGTTTCCTTACCCCTATATATGGAAATTCTGATATTTGGCCTAATATTTGCTCCAGGGGTTCTCGTAGTTTGGGATTACTGCTCTCTGTAATATTGTCACTCTGAGTTGCAGTGGACTCAATGGCAATGGGTTTGGTTTTGGAATTTATGTACAAATAAATTAATTTTATAATGAAGTAGATTGCTGCAATGATCTCTAGATGATTTTATATACACCTATATGTTCACTACTGAAGGTATGCTGCCCCTG